AGGGATCAGACATAAATCGGGGAACTGTCACTAACAGACCATGCTGTGATCTTGAGTACAGAAAGGCAAACAACAACAAGTGAATATGTCGTGTACATAATACGTTATTTAGGAGTGTTATTAGGCACACGGAGTCCGCGATCTAGTCGTCACCTACCTCTATCCAGTCTTTGATAAGAGGTACGCTTCGTAAATGGCACATACCTACCGGCAAATATCAAGTCAAATCAAACCAATCAGTAAGGTGGTTTCCTTGCGAGTCACTCAACCGTTGTTTAGAAACAAATGCTTGAATCTGTACCTGACAGTCGAGCCCATCTGTTTCATCTGATCTACATCCAGGACTATCCTAGCACATCTCCACTTCCAAGTACCTCTAGAGATCTGAGATTTGCAAGTACACTATAGAGCAGGGAGAGACCACCTCTGCATCACTCGTGCCCTTACTCGATCGACCTATCAAACTCATCAATGACACTAACCGGCTTTACGAACTTGCCCAACGGTTCGTACTTCAGATGGTCAAAGCCAAACGCTTTGGGACCACCAAGATCGATGCCTCTCTGTGACCCCGTCCACTTGTCTGAAGCGGCGATTCCGATAACAATGACCAGCAAGCCATACCGATACTCCGGAGTGCCCACGGCCTCACCGCTTTGAGCATCGATGACCGAGATCAGATCCGGCACAATCGCCAGTACATCCTCCTGCTTCTCCAACTCCTTGTTCTCGTCGTCCTTAAAACCATCCCCTGCGGGTATACGGATAGCAGCAATGTTCTCGTTCTTGAACGGGATCTTGATCCTCTTGCCAGTGAAATCCTCCTTCTCCTCCCCAGCAACACCTTGACCTCCACGTCGACCCCTTGTTCTTCTCCCATCATTTGTTGTAGATGTAGTATCATCCGTGACATCCGTCCCCTCAATAATACACTCCCCATAAACATGTCCCATCCTCAGCGTCCTCCTAACACCCACAATCTTTCCCTTGAACAACACCTTTGCCGCCACCCCCTTCTGCCCCCCACCACACTCCTCCACAATCGTCTCTGCCACCTCGTCCAACCGGTTCATCGCCCTCGCCCTCGCCACCGCCCTCCCCAGCCTCCACGCCTGCGACACCGTATTCTCCACCACCCACCTCTTCATTTCCGCGCCCCTAACCGGCGGGTCGGCGGCGCCCACCTGGCTACCCATCTGGCTTAGCGCCGCGCGAATGATTTTCTCGACGGCAGCATCCGACGCCGCTTTGGGCATCACCAGCACGTTCCCATTTCCGTCCGCGACGGCGATGGGGCTCCAGATGGGCGACCGCTCGTTGAAGACTACTGGTGTCGTCTGCCACTTGGTCGGGTACGCGCGCCCCATCCAGTCGCCGTCGACGCAGGGGATGTCCATGTTGGAGCTGGCGCCGAGCGTCATACCTTGGAGGCCGTTGCCGCCGCCGATTTCGAGGGCAATCATGTGCGTTGCTTTATTATTTTGATTTTGATCGGAGGAGGAGGACAAGGCTTTGTAGAGCTCCGTCTGCGCTTGCATCATCTCGTCGCCTTGCAGCTTCTCAATGCTCACCGTCGGCGAGCCGGCGCCGCAGCCGCAGCCGACGGCGGCGGAGTCAGGCACGTCCGCAGGAGAGACGACCCGTACCGAGGCGCCGGAGCGAAGGAGCTGCCGGAGGAGAATCATGGATGCGTAGGGAGAGCCGCCGCCGCCGGTGCCGAGGATGTAGCAGCCGGTGGAGATGAAGGTGAGGTCTGTTTCGGAAATGTGCCAGATGCGGTTGAGGACGCTGGGGGTGTAGGTTAGGACATTGACTTCGGATGGTGTTGCTGCTTTTGGCTTGGTGTCTGTGACTGTTTGTGGCTCAGATAAGTCTTCGCCCACGGCCTCTTCCTCTGATGAGGCTTTCTCATCGTCATCGCTTGACATATATGATCGCGTGAAGTCAAAGTCGCCGGCTGCGCGGACGACGAAACGAGTTTTGTTCTCGACGTACTAGCAAGTGAAAGTGTGTGTTTTGTTAGTCGCTCGCGTGAACTTGCATCACTGATGTAACAAAAGGGAAGTTCTTACCTGCAAAGGCAGCATCTCAACCTCAACAACCTCGACAGATTCCGGAGAAGCACCAGCCGCAATGGTTCTCTCGATCGCATCCTTCTTGATCTCCTCCAAGAACTGCTTCTCCGTCTTGGTCTCTGTCGACTTGATTGTATCCACAACAGAACTGACACGAGCAATGGCAGCTCCTATCGCATTCGCAACCTCGGACCAGCGGGGCTTGAGCACCTTGCTTGCACCCTGGAGCTCATCAGGAGCAATGACTGCACCACCGCCGACAAGAATAGCTGGCAGGTCCTCTGGTGACGTCTTCATGTTATCGATGATCTTTTCGATCTTGCTCCTGACGATGGCCTTGAACTGCTGGGTTTCTTCTTCGGTCAGTGCGTCTTTGACAAGACTGGCGTTACCTATGCTGGTGATGCCCGGGTTGGCGAGCACTGTACAATCAGTTGTGGTAAGCGTGCTTCCACCAAAGAGCAGGGCTTCCTCGTTGATCCTATAGCCCACACTTTCTGGCCCAATGGTGATACCATTTTTGCCCTTTCGGACAATGGAACCGCCACCGAGACCAATGCTTTTGATGTCAGGGCATGAGAAGTTCTATACACCCACAGTAGTGTCCACACATGGAATCAGTCAGCCACCAACACTTGGAACAGGGAGCAGTTCACGGGGACCATTGTGGGCAAAATAACATACCATTCTTACCCCCGCCAACTCGCTATAAGCAGCCTGCTGTCTCGGAAACCCATTAGGCAAAAGTAACCCAACATCAGTCGTAGTCCCACCAATGTCCACCACCATCATCGCCTCTCCCTGTCCCTGTCCTTCCTTTTTCCCATCCCTCTCCTGACCCTGCACGAGGAACGCGGCACCCCTCATACTATTCGTCGGCCCGCTCGAGAACGTCTTGATGGGCAACTCCGCCGCCTTCTCCCCTTTCAAGATCGTCCCATCATTTTGCGTGATAAACACTGGCACACCCTTGAGTCCCAACCGACCCACCGCCTGCCGAAACTCCCTAATCGTCCGTCTTGCAAACCTCAGTATACTCGCATTCAAAACCGCCGCATTCTCTCGTTCCAAAAACCCCAAGTTCGCCACCTCCTTGGAGCACACCACATCCACTTCTCCTTGCCCGCCCAATTCGCGCCTGACAATCTCCGCCGCCCTCTCTTCCTGTCTGTAGACGGTATCAATAGGACTGAACACGCCGTTAATCACCACTGCTTTGATCCCGCCGCGCCTGCGGATCTCTTTGCATTGCTCCACGATCTCGAACTCGTCAATATCGCTGATCAACGACCCATCTACCTCCAACCCGCCCTTCACGCGCGCGTGATACCCCAGTATCAAGGAGCGCATGTCATCGGGCCAGTCGACGCAGGGCGGGACGTGCTTGGAAAAGGGACCGGAAAGACGGAGGACGGCTACCCGCGAAAGGCGGGAGGGATCCCGCTCGATGACGGCGTTGACGAAGTGCGTGGTGCCGATGGTGACGCTGGAAATGGCGTCCTCGGAACGGATGTTGGCGGCGTGGGTGGCCTCAAGTTGAGTGAACATGGAGGTGATGGCGGTCATGATGCCGTCACTGGGGTTGGGCGTCGTGGCGGTCTTGATGTGGGCTAGGATGCCTTTGGATGGAGAGGATGAAGCGAGGGATGGGTCGAGGATGACGCCGTCGGTGTTGGTGCCTCCGACGTCAACGCCGATGCGGAGGCGACGGGGTGAGGGTTGGGGTGCCATGTTGCAAAAGTGTGTTTACCGTCGGTTCAGAAGTACCTATGTTGCCGAGATGAGATGGAAGGCTCGTTGAGCGTGAAGATTGAAGTCAATGGAATCAGTTGGGCGTTAGAGAGCTTGGGATCAGCGGGTGTGATTTCTTAAGACAGCGTCCGTTTGTCGTCAAAGCAGAGCGTTTTGCAGATGTTTGAACAGTCTGTGAATGAACGTATTCAGGGAAAATATCATGGCCCCATCAAGAAGACAGACATGGCGGTTATGACGCATGCTGGCCGGCCGAAGGTGTCTTCAAGGTGGGGAGAATGGAGACGTTTGTGAACATCTTCGGCGGTTCGCCCCACATAAACAGAGCCGACAGGGGTGCTTGATCCCTAAAAGAGGAGTGGGAAGTGGAGATGCGTGATTATCTGATCATCAGATAAAGGACGGCCACGTTCTTTCCCGCTCTTTCCCTCGTTCATATCCCCATTCTCGTTCTGTTTTCTGTCCCTCCCCCCTTTTTGTTTTCCTTTTTTTCTTCTTTTTTTTTTCTTTGGTGTGATAGCTCCGGGCAGTGGGTTTCCCCGTGACCGACGAACTATTTTCACGAGACAAGTCTCGGACGCCAGAGGTATAATGGTATCTCTAGGCATTAAGGACATGTGCCAAAAGCGTAACATGACGTGCAGTGAATCGGGGCGGCCGCCCAGTCGTGGAAGTCAAGCTCAATTCCGATCTTCTCTCGTAACTCCAATTCCTGGGCAGACATCGTCTCCGAGGGTCTTGGTCAACGATGACGTTTGGAGCATTGGCCCATGTATCAATCTCGCAGCGTCTTATGATTGCATGCGCACCCGGTGGTTGAGTCTCCCTCGCACTTCGGTCTACGATCAGCATTCCTCCGTCTGCAGCGTAACACCATGGAAGCGATAACGCGATGAGACATCGTGTTTTTGTCCAGAGCCCATTGGCCACCCTAACGCCGAATCGGTGAATCTTGATGGAGTGTGCGCAAGTCAGTCGTTAGTTGTGTCATTGATTTCAAAGCAGAATATTCTCTTCTATGGCAGGGGCATGGTTGAGGTAGGTAAGTCGCTGAGACGTATGCTTGCGAAGATGAACTTACCCCTCGAACTCAGATATATTACGTCCATCTATTCAGCCAGATTCAGTGTTTTTGTGATCGTCTTTTCCATCTTCCATGTTGCTTTTGTTGTTCTGGTAAAATCTTGTTACTTTCGCGATTTTCGAAGGAACCAGCCCTCACTCAACCTCAACCAGAAAAAATTGCACCATGGCGAACACACCCCTCATAATCACACAGGAACCCTTCATCCCTCTCAACTCCCTAGTCCTTATCACCGGCGTCAACGGCCTAATCGCCAGCCACATAGTCGACCAGCTCCTCTCAGCCGGCTACCGCGTCCGAGGCACCGTGCGTAACAAAGCTCGATGCGCCTGGGTCGAGCCCTTCTTCACCACCCGCTACGGCGTCAACCGCATCGAAGTCATTGAAGTCCCCAACATCACCGCCCCCGGCATCTGGAACGCTCACGTCGCCGGCGTCTCCGCCGTCATCACCGTAGCCGGGGTCGCCTGGCTCGACGACAGAGACGTGCCAAAAGCCGTCAACGAAGAACTCAAGTGTCTCTACGGTCTTCTCGACGCCGCCAAGATGCACTCCAACACTGTCCAGGCGTTCATCTACACCAGCTCTTCCTGGGCGGCTTATACGCCCAAGGTCGGGATTCGCAGGACTCTGACGGAGGAGTCATGGAATCACGAGGCGGTGGCGTTGGCTGAAGATTCGGGCATCCCTGATGCGGAAAAGGGCCTCGCTCCGTTCATGGCCATCAAAGTCAAAGTTGAGGAGGCGCTGTGGGATTGGGTTGCGAGGGAGAAGCCGACGTTTACTTTCAACGCGATGCTCATTTCCACCGTCACTGGGCCCATCCTTGATCCCGACAATCAGTCAGCCAGCACAGCCGGGCTGGTTAGGGCTTTATACAATGGGAAACCGAAGGAAGCACTCGATGTAATTCCTACTTTCGGTCCGCAGTCGTCCATTGATGCTCGAGACGCAGGTCGGCTGTATCTTGGCGTGCTGGTGTCGGGACTAACTGGATCAAGGGTTTATGGGTCTGCGGAGCAGTTCAGTTGGAACCAAACTCTGGACATTCTCAAGGAGTTGTATCCTAAAAAGAAGGACTGGGTGAAATTGCCGAGTTCAAATCAAATTGATGAAACGGAAATTCCTGTGGACATCCCCTTCTCGTTGTTGCGTACTGTCGGACAGGAGGGATGGACGGGCTTGAAGGAGAGCATCAAAGACGCGGCGGAGAGTTTTGCTCCGACTGGACAGTGCTGAAGGGAAACCAAAACATGTTGAGGCTGGGGGGAGTGCATAGCGATGGATAATGATGTCATCCGATGCCTCGGCTCGAACATCTCGGCCAATCCAGCTTATTTCAAGCACCAAGCACCCAGCTTCGCTCGTTCTCCCCTTTCTTCTCGTCAGTTTCGTTTCTTTTTGCATCAGGGCTCACGGTACCTGCAGTAGCGTTTAAGATTAAACCAAACAAGCCCCAGACCCACTATCGGTCATTGCACTTGATTGAAGTCGCCCCGTTGGGCTGTCAATGGTTGTTCCGGTTTTCTGGTTCCTCTTAATGGGATCCACAAACTATTGGACTGTAGCTCGATGGATGGGGTCTAGGTCCTGATAGTCCCCAAAGTTCAGCCAGCCACCATTGAATTACCTCTCGGTCAATGGAAGGAAGAAGCCTGCCAAGATTTGGACTGTTGACCGATACTTTGTGTGATTGCTTCTCCAGCGTATGGTGTAAAGCGTCGATAGGGTGCCATATAAGACAAAGCGTTGTGAACATGAAATCACACAAACTCAAACCTCTGCTCTCTTTCCCCGTTTCGCGTTGTTCCGCGTCCATTCTCTAATTGAATCCCTTCGAATCATCGACCATGCGTGCCTCGTTAGCGCTTTTGCCAGCCCTTGCGGCCATGACCGTGGCAAGTCGATGCCGCCCACGGACAACGACGTCGTCTTTGGCAACGTCGACCTTGACATCAATGGTAGTTAGTAGCCCAACAAGCTCTACCGACTACACTTCCAGCGCTGTCAGTATCATTGAGAGCACGACGACCACTACATCCGATGAGCCTACAGCAACTGAGGCGTCGACCGTGGAGCCCTCTACCACGGAGCCTGCCACGAGTGATCCACCCACCACCAGTGAGCTGCCCACCACGAGTGAGCCACCCACCACCAGTGAGCTGCCCACCACGAGTGAGCCACCCACCACGAACGAGCCATCCACCACGAGCGAGCCACCCACCACGAGCGAGCCGCCCACTACCAGTGAGCTGCCCACCACCACCGAGGAGCCTACCACAACATCCGTCGAGAGCACGACCTCAACCGCTCCCAGCTCTGCTCCAACAGTCACGGGCTTCTGCCTGAAAGCCATCACCCCTGGTGTGAGCAATAAAGACTACCACATTCGTGTGCTCTCCCCCTACTCCAACCTGATCACCGAGGCCCCGACCGGCTCCAATTTCGGCTTGTTCGATCTCGACATATCTACTGGCAAGATGAGCATCAGCGGCGGTACATGGGCTGGCTATGAGGTGTACGCGCTCCCACCATATGACAACCAAAAGCTTCGTGTTATCCGGTTCACGAACACGCCGGTAGAACATCCTTTGCGCTGCTCGAACCCGGATGGAGTGTATACGACTGGGTCGGTATTGAAGTGTGAGGTGTCAGCTCCTTGGGCTGACGGTGTGATGAGGAGGTATGCCCTGTGGAATAGCGGTAATAGCTCCCCTATCGATGCGTGGAACATTATGCTCGATGACTATGTGAGGGCTGGGTCCTATAACTACGATGTGGGCATGTTCTTTGGGGATGACTGCAGTGCGGTGGGTGCCCAATGATGATGGGCTAGGAGAAACCGTCATATGTAGAAACGGTCTCGTAATGGTAATATTGAAGGTGTCATTGGCCATCGTGGTAGTTTCTTTCTTTGTTGTGTACAATAGAATTGCTTGACGGAGATGGCCGGTGCCAAACACTGCTACGCCGCTGGAGATGTTGACATGTGGCCGTAATCTTGTAGGGTCCTTCGTAGCCTTCGAATGTGTTCGGGGGACGCCTTGCAGCAACCTCCCACAACGATAGACTTCCAATTTCCTCTTTGACGTGCGGCTTCGACAACACCGGCTAGGACTGTTTCCCAAGGGGTCTGTTTGAAAGAAGTGAGTGTTGGTGCGTGAACCAAAGGACCTGTAAAGAATGGTAGACCACAGCGTACCTCTGTCTGTTTGTGTCCTGGAGACAACTCCCAAGTCTTGGTGGCCGTGTTGTAGACCTCCCCTTTTGTCCCGTCTGGATAGAGGACCAAGCTTGGCCAGGCCATCCGCTCTCCGTTCTTGATGCAGGTTTGGATCGCATCTTCGTATCGTTTGACCAAGGAGTCGAGCTTTTCCACCTTTGTGCAGTTGATGCCAATACCCCAGGGAGTCTCCAGGCCTTCCCTGTGCGTGAGAACGGCTTTGACGGCCTCCTCTACCGTGCTGCCGTCGGGAAGCTTTCCATCATCGTTTGGGTAAGGAGTGGAAATCCATACGGGGCGTCCACGGAGGGATGTTGGGATGTTGTCGACCGAAAGCAGATTTCTGATGGCAACAATCTCATCGAGCCTAGGAACCGTTTCAAAGGCAATGTAGTTGACATGGTTGGGATCGACGTCCTTGAACAGATTCAGACGTTCCTTGTGCCATTTTTCCAGGGCCTGCACATCTTGGTGTTCAGGATCGTACCTGCCGCTGTATTCGGTCGATGGAATCATGGTGGCGCCATAAGGACCCAGCGACAAGGCAACTTTGCCCTCCGTCCCCGCTGCATTCGCGGCAAGGACGACCGCACGGCTCAAGAAGCGAGGAATCTCTTCCTTGTCGATGCCCTCCCTCTCCACGTCGAGGGTTCCGCTTTTCGGCGCCTTGGTTGCGGCAAATCCATTGATGGATATTTGGTACGTCGCGGTAGAAATGATGTTCGCTCCCGCCTGCTTGAATGCCTCGTGGCAATCCGACAGCTTGTCCTCCTCGCCGGAAACAAGGAGATGTGATGACCAAAGCGGAGTTTCAAATGAGAAGGTGATGTCGTGCATGTCTTCCAGAGTGGTTCCCATCCCTCCATCCAGGATCTGAACTGGAATCGGTGTAGCCATTGCTGCAGAGTTTTGACGTGTTTGCCGCGATTGGGCGCTGGTTGAGATATTGCGCTCAAGCAACTATATTTGATGGGGAAGGAGTGAGTGAGTTGCGATTGCCTCAGGTGAATTTCCAAGTGAATCTCAAATAATGCAAGAGCTACCGCTACCAAAAATGACGTTCAAGCCGCCGCCCCGCTACGAAAATTGTTAAGGATCGGCCCAAGTACGGCGCTGCGCTTCCTTGTAATCCCTGCTTTGAGGTTGCAACGGTAAAGCCTGGGCACATGAAGTGCTGCGGTCTTGTCCGAGTTCCACGCCGAAACCGGCTGTCAACACCAACCCAGCAAACCTCAACCATCTCCCAATGCGCCGCATCGAATCTTGGACAACCCCAGAACAAACGCCAAACGCAAGAGGATTGAAAGGTCTGTGCTCCGTCCTCTGATCATTGAACCCTAGCCGTTTGTCGTTTCCGACTATTCTCAATGACGAGCACTGGGGTTTCAGAGGCGTCTGGCGCACGAAGACCGAGGAGGTTTCTTCACCGTGGTAGCAGCTGGACATCTCACACGTGCTTAGTACGAGAGTCGTGACGCACAACCATATGTTGGCTCTGTAGATGAAGTTGAGAGGTTCAAGCATTGACGTAGGAGGACCTTCCGCTCAGTCTATAAAACGTGAGGGATTCCATCAAGGCATTGACCTTCATCCACACACCCTGGCGCACTCGTACTAACCCTCACAATGTCAGAGCCAGTTTCTGGATCTCGAACGCCTTCGCTTCCCACTCACCACTCTGGAGACTATCCACGACTGGGTTTTCTACGCGATGTTCAATGCAGGTGCTACGAATATCGATCTGGTGAGATTGAGCTATGGGAGTCAAGTCCCTTGCAAAGTGCCCTCCCCTTTGAAGTCAAGTATCAAGAAAAATGCCTAGTAGCGCAGGGAGTTCCTCGTGGAGCTCTTCGGATTGTCAGACAATTTAAACCGAGAAGCCAAGAGGCTCTTGTTTTTGCAAAAGAGCACATCGTTGCTATTACAAAGCCCAAGGTGGGTCAATAAATTCCGACCAAGTCTGTGGTACAGTTTTCTATGTTCCGGTCATTACTAACCACCTTCATTTCGGCTTACTTTGAAGTTTGCATACCACTTTCTTCGGTACCTGCAAGTTTTCCAAACCGATGGCCACCAAGTGGACAATGGTATGCCCGACCTCCATCTCATGACAGAGGATTGCCCCTTAGGAGATCTTCAGTCTTTCATCGCGACCCATGGATCCATACGGGAAGAGGAAGCAAGAACAATCATGCGTCAAATCTGCAATGGCCTAGGGCTGTTACATCAGGAAGGCCTTGCCCATGGCGATCTGCAACTGTGTGTAAGTGAATTCCGAGAAATCGTCCTCGAGTAGATGTAGTGTAAGTGCGGTCACTAGAATAACGTCTCGGTCTTTGCTTTAGCACATTTCTATCGACCGTCTTCCCGAACACAACCCCGATCAACACCACAGAGAGTGGCGCGTCAAAATTGGGGGATGCAGGCTTCATTACCCAACGTCTGCCAACAGTCATGGCAGTCCCGGAACTTTCATCAATACTGTTGCCTTTGCAAATCTCTCCTTTCTCTCCCCAGAGATTCTAGGGGGTTATACACCGAGAGACCCTGCAACCTTTGAAGGTTTCAATGGAATACAAGCATTTGACGTTTGGGCAGCAGGAGAGGTTGCCGCTCAAATGTTAACCGGCAGTCCAACCTTTGGCCTAGATCTCCAGATGATGTTTGACTACCAGGCCGGAACAGTTACATTTCCAACCAGGAAGTTGGATCAAGCGATGGTCTCAGAACTTTGCAAAAGATTCATTACGACATTCATGCACCACGATCCCTTCATGCGACCAACGCTTCCCCTCGATCCAAGGCGAGATGCCATTGTACAGTGGATTGAACCAGCCAACTGCTGGCAAGCCAAAGAACTGAAGTCAGTTCCGCTAACGACATTCTACCACGACAAGATTCTACCGCCAACAATGCATTACACCCCCGATGGGAGCAAGCTGGTTGTTATCGACCCCCATACCATTACCATTCGTTCAAGTTTCGCCGGATTCATTAGCAGCTGGATCTACGAGAACGACCGGCATGCTGAATACCGCGCTTCTGCTCTTTCGTCTTACGGGAAGACATTGGCGTTGTATGACGCACACTCCAATGGCATCAAAATATTTGACATTTCGAAGGGGAGAAACACCGGGTTATCCATAACCTACCCCGTTTCTGAGCCACTCGTTACCCCTCCAATGTCTAATTCCCTGTTTGTGCAATTACAGCAGCCGCAAACAATCCTCAACTTTCATCCTACCGGCTCTACACTTCTTGCCGCCTCTCCAAGCACCTTCACAACTCTCAATCTCTCTATTGTCCCAAATCCTGCCAACCCCCTCCCATACCAGCCCAAGACAGACTCCCGAGAAGAACCAATTCTCAACGCCTGCTATACCAATGACGGCCTTGCAACGGTCGTTTCCCATAGAAACTATACAAGGTTTACCCTGCTATCAAACGGGCAAGTCACCCGTACAGTGGCGCATCCCGTCTCCGCTCGCGTTGTGGCTATTGCACCGGATGGACACCGCCTTATCCTGGGGTCAAAGCATGGTGATATCTGGTCTCTTTCTACTTCATCGTTCGTCCAGTCAGACGAAGGTTGTTGGGTACCGGTCTGGCGATGTGTAGACGGCTATCCCGTCGACTCTATCGACATTGCCCTGTCATCTACCCATCCAACTCGGAAGGGGGGTACAAGTGCTGACGCAGTTACGGTAGCGGTTGTTAGTGGGGAGCGATTGACTCTTCTATCTATGGGCAGCGATCAAGACGATCGCTGCTTGGGATGGGTAGAGTTCAAGCAGCGGAAGGCACTGATTGCCAAGATTAAGCCCAGAGCGGATAAAGAGAACCATCTCGAGATTGCGCTATGGAGTGGAGGTGAAAGCAGGATTACCTTTTTGAAGTTTGAGGGGTTCTATGAAGATGAAGAGGTTGAGGGCGGTGGCAATAACTTCAAGGGGCTCGCAGAGTCGACCATCGCTGGAGAAATCGAGAACCACAACTAAATCGCAGAGGAGCAAGAAAAAGAGCAAGAGAAGAACAAGGCAATGTGTATACAAGCACACAGGGATCTTGATATTACAAAGGGGGGATTGGGGTTGACGGCGCGAATGAGAAGAAGGACGGTGGGGAAGAGGAAAACAATGATGATGAATACTATTAGAAGGGGGAAGGAGCCAGTGGCTCTGGATGTGCGAGTTGGTTTGTTGATGGCTACCTACCTCTACATTGAGGAGTAGTTGACCCACTTCTGAGCATACTTGCGTATGGGAAGGAAAGAACGAAGAGTCGAAGACAAGTGTCCTTTGACTTGTGTGAAATTAATTCTGGGCCAGTGGGAATCACATATTGACGAAATGCGAACGTTCGGACGCTCAAAAGTTAGTGGGCTAGTACATAGGTAGGTCATTGAATTCGCGAGTGCATCCAGACATGGTTCTTGTGCGTTGTTCTTTTCATACATCTGTTTTTCAACTTCGATGCCTGGAACAATCGAATGTCTCGTTCGTACCTTCTTTGTCTTGCAGTAGTGGCTCCAATTCCCTAAAGACAAAGGCAGGTCCGCTACGAATTGGAACCTCCGCGCCTGACTCACCGCAGTCGATCGACATGACCCAAGGAACCCGAGGCTTCGGGTGCGATGGACCGACATATGGCTGAGAGTTCTGGAAGGAACTCACCGCAGCTTTAGAACCTCTTTTAGAGATGGGTCACGTCTCGGAGGCCATCTCCAGGTGTCCGGTGCACATAACTCTTCTTGTTGTGCAATGTCGAGAAGAAACAACACATGAGAACTGAGAGCAACAACTGAATATCTTTAACCGTCCCGAGTCACCTGTGCATTCCTCTCTCGATCCTGGCAGCGAAGAGCATGGCCGGAGCAGGCGGAACTCGGTTCCAGCACATCAGCAACTAGACCGCCGTGGTCGGGTATGGACTGCCACTCATTGGAGGCCACTACCGTACAGAGAAAAAAAATACACATCGAAGGTCCAGAAGCCGCGGCGCCTGTCAAGATCCAAAGTCACGGTGGAAACAAGAAATCCTGCAGCGAAGGTTAAAACAGGGGGCAGATTAGTCGGGGCTCCATTAGGTTCAGTGCTCCGGTCCCTCGGAGGATACATGTATGCCGTCGAGGGATTATCTTTTTTTCGTTGGGACCAGACCAGACGGGACTGGACTGGACGAATGGAGCCGCTCGACTGGCTGCTTACTGCAATGTTACCCCCCTGAATTTCCCCGGTCTCTTTGAGTCTCATTTCCTTCATCGTCCTGGGACCTGGGTCTGGGTCTGGGCCTGGGACGCTAGATAGGCGATACCCGATACATACCGCAACAGGTACCTATGAACCTAACCTTATCCAGGCCTCGTTCGTTGAATTGTTCGTATTTGTCTGGGTGTCATTTGCCTATTCTTCACGTTGCGTAGGTAGTTACAGTGGGCACCAGTGCAGACCAACGACGTCTAACATACGTGCGTGTAGATGGAATTGCGGCTGACGGTCCGCGAGAGGGAAGCAATACCGTGTAAATGGATGTTACCTACCTAGGCATGGCAATAGTTTAGGTAACATCGACGGAAGCGAGAGAGACCTTACCCTCCACGACTTCCTGCAGCTCCAGCCCAGTTACAATCCCGCGTCAAAAAAAACGACCAACTGTTTTATTGCCCGCAAAAAGGACCAAAACTTAACTCTATGACTCCTTGGTTTTCATATTCAACCACTTTTTAAAAGCAAATGCACTTCAGAAAGAGAGAGGTAAATGATTATAGTTACTGAACATGTACTTAGAATTCGTTTCTTTCTTTTAGTGGTGTGATGATAACTGTCCAAATGAGAGTATAAAAAGTATTTTTAATTATAGTGGACCTATAGTGCATTTTAGTGGGTGAAATTTGAAATGCTTTTCCGAAAGTTACTTTAGTACTTACCCTTTTGCGCCCTTTTGGAATGTATCCTTTCGGACAATTTGCATTAGCATCTCCTATTAAAGATATCTCTAACTATAACGTGGAGTGACTTTTGTAAAAAGGCTCGTTAAGAAACCAAGAGTTGAAGATGTTGACTTTTGGCCCTTTTTACGGGTAAAAAAAGAGTTGGTCGTTTTTTTTAGCGCCCCACTGTACGTGGCAGCGCCGTACTATAGCGGGAAAATCACTAGCGCATTAAGCCTTGTTGGGGGGTTTAACGCTTGTAATCTTTACAAGCCTTGTTGTGAAATCTAGCACTGTTGGTTCCCTAGCACTGTTGCTCAAGGCAGGGCTCTTATTGGCCAAATTCCGCTTGCTTTATAGGTAATTCAACAAGGTAGAGGTAGTTGAGAGAGTCGTTCTTTCTTATTAACCCATCCGTCCCCCCCTTTCTCTTTCTCAGTTCCCTATATCAACGGCAATAACGAATATCTTTATTATCAATTGGGCTAGTGGCTCAATGGTTTCTGCCGTCGCTCTCTTTCTTGTGATTACTTGTTCGATTCTAATCGGTGACAGCTTTTTTTCCGTCGCGCGAGAAGTCTCGCCGAAGTGAATATGTGAATACCTTCATCCCCCTCCCCCCCTTCCACCTTCCAAGTACGAAAAAAAAAAAAAAAAAAAAAAAAAAATGAGTAGAAGAGACCCTTCTAGTGGCATTACAGAAGGCCGTTATAGGGGTCTTTAGCTTTTACCATTTTGCACCCAAATGCGACCAATCAGGGGCCTCCCTCAACCAACAGTGCTAGATCTCACAACAAGGCTGGGCCAGTTATCTGCTCTAAGATTTGGAACTAGCCTTGAACCCCCCTCTCAAGCCTTAATAGTCTTCCTATATTTCCGCTGTGGTAGGTAAGTAAGCAAGCAATGGTGATAATGTGGGAGAACCTACGCCTAACGTTTATACTGAAGGCCGGAATGGAAAAGGTTCTGCCCTAAATAAGGCGGGTTGGTGATGAAAGCGCCGCTGCCACTGGGTTGATATATGGACTTCACTTGGTCTTGACCGGCGTAAACACCTGGAGGTGACAGATTCAGGTTATAATTCCATATAATGAGCATAGCATAAACGAAGCCAATTATAATGGCTGCTGAGTTTACTAAAGCTTCGGTACTTCGTGGTACGGTTGCTCAATGCGACAGCGCATTCCCTGCACATCGTTTGTGGTACCCAGCTTCCAAAATTACTAGACAAGAACCAGTAACCGAGTTCGATTGCAATTCAAAAGGAATTGGAGGCACATGCGTGGATGGACTGATGGTTGTTATTGTTATTGTTGTTGTTATTTTTAACGTCTACTTCCGCCTCCCTTAGGGTATGAGACGTGCTACAGCGGTGAATCTAATGTATAAAGTAGAGGGCAATGCCCTAGCGGTGCTCTGTAGCGCCTAGAGACTCTCGACTATTCTACTAAATCCGTAATCCGAGGGCAAACTGAGGTTTACTATTAGAGACTCTCAAGTACTGCCTATAGCGTAAACGCGGCCTAGCAATTCTAATTAAAGCGCCCGTAAACGAGCAGCGAATATGTCTACCGAAATGAAAATAAAAGAAAAAGAAAAAGCGTCCTATTCCCCTTTCCCTTTACTATCATTATTATTATCTTCTCTACTATAAATCCCCTCTTCTCGCCTTCTAACCTAGTAGACTAATCTATTTAAATTTACTATAACCTTCCCTATAGTATAGCCGTCGCTGACTTCTATTCCTTCTCTTCGTAGGAAATTAGTAAGATCGCCGGCCGTACCACCCTCGTTAATATATTACTACTAGAGTAATTAGCGCTACGCTTTCTTCGTATAGGTTTATAAAAAGAAATATAAGGTTTAGATTCTAGCTATAAATTTTTACTAATAGATCCTAATAGTAAGGGAGAAATTCTCTAAGGTAGCCGCGTCTCCTATAATTAGGAAGATACAATATGCCTTTCGATAGTAGAAAGGGTGAAAGGGAGTCTTCTAACTATTATAATAGTACGTTAGTAGCGTATTTTCATACTCGAATCTTTTATAGTATTCCTTGAAGTCGCTATGACCAGACCGGGCTGTAAGGAGGTAGTATAGCGACTACCTATCGAGTTCCCTTAGCTCGTTGCTAGGCGTAATAGAGGCGCCCAACTTATAATTAGCGTATAATTCTAGTTTATTAACAACCTACTAGCCTTTAAAGTCTATTCGTACCTCCTTCTTAATTAGCCTCTTCGAGTATATTAGAGTAGCTAGGCCCTTATTAATTACCTCTCCCCCTTCGGCGCCCGCCTTTATAAATTTATCCGCAATCTCGTTGCCTATAATACTTTTATACCCCGGAACCTAGCGTACGTCGACCGGGCCGTACCCCCGGCGTATAGCCTAAAATTTAAAGAAGGCAATTTACAATAATAGCGTAGGGGTACTTCGGAGGCCCCTAATAACCGATGTATTATTTAGGCAGACTATAATACACGGCCGAGTATACGCTTATCCCGGGAATAACGCTACCGCGGCCCGTAGGCCGTACTTCGCTCCCTCGGCCTTAGTATTAAAGACTTCGGCTTGCTCTAACTGCCTATAACCCCGGGCTAGCTTAGTTTGTCCCTAGAATACAATATACTTAAAACTAACGCACTTGCCCTCCGGTCTCTCCTCGTTAGCGTCCGGGTCCTTAATGTACGTTGGGAGCTCTATTTATTTAACAATTATAGATCCGTCGGTATAAACAATGATTTCCGAGGGGTTAAGCTATAATAACTATTTCTTAAATTCTATCGCAGCTCTATCTTTCAATATTAGCGCAGGATCCTTATAGGTAGTACCGTTGAAGATTGGCGGTTATATATTAGGAGGCTAAGGGGTAACCGCCGGGGAAGGGATACTATAGTACTATAATACCGACGCTCTATCTCGTCTGATTAAACTCTTACTTAGAAGTATTGCGACAGCCGGTACTCTCTTTTGCCTAATTAATCTTCAATTTAATAGTATTAGAGTATTTAATAAAATAAGTTCGTAGGAAGGATAATCCAGCGCTACGTTAGGGTAGTACGCTAATAT